ACAGATTGATCACATCTTATTATTGACTAACACTTTGCGTGATTAGCTTTATTAAAATAGTTATTTGATTAATTAAAAGAAATATTAAGATTAATTAAAAGAAAAGAGCCCATTCTTCATTCTTCTGTTGAGCTGAAAAGAAGCAGGTTAGAAGGAATGCATGAGTCCTTGAGACCATATCTCATGCAAACTAGTCCTGTGTCAGAGGAGGGGGGAAACAGTCATTTCATTCTGTTACACAGTTACCAAGTCTGGTAAGAAGACTCGGTTTGTCATAAAGTAATGACAAAGTTGTCTGGCTGCACTTAAAACATATATTAAAGTATATGTTCAAGTGTTTGTGTAGTCATGAATAGGGCTGCAACTAACGATTATTTTCATAATCGATTAATCTGTCGATTATTTTTTCGATTAATCGGTTTGTTACTGTTTAGCTATTTAACCTATACAAGTGATGGATGCATTTCAGTTAAGAAAAAAAACATAAGAGAATTGTGCAGTTGACTGCAATCTATTTTATTGCACATGAACAGTCAGCAGTATAAAATGAGCTAAACAGTGCAAAATATCAGTCCAGAATAATTTTTTAGCATTAGCTGGAAGCCTGCTCCTTCCACCATGGGTAGTGGCCTCATGTCTTTTACCAGCATGTTTAGAATAGAGTTTGTAAGTGGTATGAATTGCTGGGGGGTGAGTGTCTTGTTCCCCATGTAGTTGTCCATCGTTGCTTGTTTTTTTCTGCATAAGAAACACAAATAGACTGAAATAAGTACACATATAAAATAAAGCAGCACACACACTACAACACTAAATCAATATTATATTATTTGAATTAATTAACAATATACAGTGATCATTTATTTTGAGGGTTACGTTCTACAAAATAGCCCGCAACAGGAGATATTCAGAAAAATTTACCACCACCACCACCACCTTCACCACCACCTTCACCACTGTGAATAGTACAGTCCCCGCTGACCACCCCTCCCCCTCCATTGCCATCTCAGTGAAAGAAAAGGATGTGCTCAGGGTTTTCCGTAAGCAAAACCCTCGGAAATCCCTGGGCCCGGACGGTGTCTCCCCCGCAACCCTGAGACACTGCGCAGAGGTACTGTCTCCAATCTTCACGTACATCTTTACCATCTCCTTGGAGTCCTGCCATGTTCCAGCCTGCTTTAAGCTGTCCACCATTGTTCCTGTGCCTAAGAAACCCCGTGTCACTGGACTGAATGATTACAGGCCTGTGGCGCTGACGTCTGTAGTCATGAAGTCTTTTGAGCGCCTGGTCCTCCCTCATCTCAAGTCCTTCACCTCCCCCCTCCTGGACCCTCTGCAGTTCGCATACAGAGCCAATAGGTCTGTAGACGACGCCATCAACCTGGCCCTCCACTTCATCCTGCAGCACCTGGACTCCCCGGGAACCTACGCTAGGATCCTGTTTGTGGACTTCAGCTCTGCGTTCAACATCCTCCCTGCTCTGCTCCAGGACAAGCTCTCCATGCTCAACGTACCCAACTCCACCTGCAGGTGGATCACTGACTTCCTGACGGACCGTAGGCAGTGCGTGCAGCTGGGGAAGAATGTTTCCACCATTCAGACAATTAGCACAGGATCTCCACAGGGCTGTGTACTTTCTCCTCTGCTCTTCTCCCTGTACACAAACTGCTGCACCTCGAGCCATGACTCCGTTAAACTGATCAAGTTTGCGGACGACACCACCCTCATTGGGCTCATCTCTGACGGTGATGAGTCCGCCTACAGGAGGGAGGTGGAACGGCTGGTGTACTGGTGCAGCAGCAACAACCTGGAGCTCAATGCTCAGAAGACAGTGGAGATGATTGTGGACTTCAGGAAATCACAGCCCCCTCTCTCCCCCTCGTCCTGACGGACACCCCCGTCACCACTGTGGACTCCTTCCGCTTCCTCGGAACCACCATCACACATGACCTTAGGTGGGAGCCATCCATCAGCTCCCTGATCAGAAAGGCCCAGCAGAGGACGTACTTTCTGCAGCAGTTGAAAAAGGCCAAGCTGCCGGCCCAGATGATGGTGCAGTTTTACACGGCCATCATTGAGTCCATCCTCACCTCCTCCATCGCTGTGTGGTACGCTGGAGCCACGGTGAGGGACAAACATAGACTGCAGCGCATTGTGCGCTCTGCTGAGAAGGTGATTGGCTGCAGCCTTCCATCTCTCCAGGACCTGTACGTCTCCAGAACTCGGGGGCGTGCAGGTCGGATAGCAGCTGACCCTTCTCACCCGGGTCACAGACTTTTCGAGCCGCTTCCCTCAGGCAGGAGGTTACGGTCCATCCGGACCAGAACCTCCCGCCATAAGAACAGCTTCTTTCCATCTGCCATTAGACTTGTAAATAGCTTATAATCACACAACCATGCTGGTCTTCTGTACTCGACACTACGTCACGTTATCGGCCATGTTACCATTACCTGCCTTTTTTATAGCTGAATGTTTTATGCTAGTTTTATTATATTTTATTCTACTTATTCTATTTCTGAAATTTATTATTCATGTTATATGTAGCACATTAGTACCGAAACAAGTTCCTAGTTTGTGAACTGCTTGTTCATTGACAATGGCAATAAACCTGTTCTGATTCTGATTTCTGATTTCTGAAAAAGTCTTAATTTTTTTTACTATTAAAAAGCTCTAAGTAAGAAGCTCATGAGGGTTTTACTTTGAGTTGGGAGTGTTTAAATTAGCGAGAGAAATGTGAAAAATGATTATTTTGTGTAATACTGTTTAAGAAACATGATAAAAATGTGTTGTGAGGCGTTTTACAGCGTTAGATAGTAAAACAGCCTTTTAATAGTAAAAAAAAAGACTTTTTCTGAATTTCTCCTGTATTTATAAATTGAAAGCGTACAACTATGCTGTGTTATATTCACCTGGACACAGCTCGTCTGTATATTTTTCTCCGCGGAGTTGTCCTTTTTTGAATGAGGAACATAGTTATGGGTTTGTGCCGTTTTTCTCTTAACGAGAACATTCTTATAAACAGACGTGCTGAATTTGGCAAGCGCATGACACACAACACGGAGATTCACGATGGCATCTAGTCAATCAGAAGTAGAACACCGTAGACTGACGTGGCAAAAAAACAAACATGTTTAACATCCACTATAACGTTCTCAGCTAAAACACTAAGTCCAGCTTGTTTATTTTCTGTTACTTACCGGGCTGGCTCTTCCAAATGACGGCTCACTTGACCGCGGTGCTCTTCCTCTGCTGCATCAGCCCCCACATGCTTTCGTCTCAAATGTTCACTTAGGGACGTCGTGCTTCCGTGCCATGCTAGATGGTTTTTGCATATTTTGCAGGTCACCCGTCTTTTCATGGCATCTAGAGTGAAGTACGGGGTTTCTCTTCAGTTTTGTCGCTTCTATTTTTCTTCCGTATTTCTTCTTGTTCCGCCATCTCTCACAGCAAGATGAGCGTCAGTAACGTGATACGTCATGAAAACCGAGGGCACTCATTGGCTCATTTCTTCTTCTACGGCTCCACTGGTAGATCAGTGGCTCATTACTGCCACACACTGGTGGCAAATTTAACAGCTTGTAACCGATGTCAGATTGTGGTAAAAATAGACTTTATGCGGTAAAATATGATTATAAAACAACTAATCGATGACTAAAAAAGTTAACTATTTTAATAATCGATTATAATCGATTAAATCGATTAGTTGTTTCAGCTCTAGTCATGAATAATTATAGATATCAATTTATATAAAATGATTTTATTTTTAAAATACGTGTTTTATCTTTAACGTCCAGCCCTCGTCCGCATTTGGTAGCCTAGAATTCCAGTCAGACCGTAGCCAAATGCAATGATGTTGTTCTGGAGGTCGGTCTAGCCACACTCCATAGGCTCCTTGGCAGGCCCAGCAGTCCCGTGGCTCGCCACACAGCACTTTATTGGTTAGGTGGGTCAGTCACAGTGCTCTATCCTAGTGGATGAAATATCCTGGATTAAGTCCAGTCAGGCTTTCGTAAAAACCATCGCGCAGAGACGGCACTGCTGAGTATTTTCAGTGATCATGGCAGCCAACGTTAGCAAATACTGGGTTTTAGTTCTCCAGGACCTCTCCTCTGTTTTATAATGGTTAGCAGTCTCGGGGAGCTGGGGTTGTGTGGCTCAGTACTGGACTGGTTCTTGTCCCATCTCTCCGGTAGAAGCTTTAGTGTACTGGTAAATCAGATATCTTCTGAAGCAGCTGATTTTACGTTCGGAGTACCACAGGGTTTAGTATTAAGACCCCTCTTAAAGTTAATGTCCCGTAGTTGTTGCACACACTGGTGCGGTGTGGTGAAAATTCTCCTCTGCATTTGACTAATCCTCATGGGGAGCAGTGAGCTGCGGACATGACGGCCGTACTCAGGAAATATTTGGTGGTTTAACCCACAATCTAACTCCCTAAAACGGAGTGTCAGGCAGGGAGACGTTGGGCCCCATTTTAAAGTCTTTGGCAAGACCCTGCCAGGATTTGAACCCCAGTCTCAGGGTGGACGCTCTACCACTGACCTTCAACGGTGGTGCATACTCAGCTGCCAGACTTTTAACTGTTTGGTTCCCCCGCTTGTCACCACGGTTCCCCCCTGCTCAGTCAGCTCAAAGCCCAAGCATGTCAACTGGAAAGACTCTACAATAGAACTGGACTAATCGCATAATCATACCTGCAAACTTGTCGCTTTTCAGCGAAAATGGCCGTTTTTGTGGCGTTCACGTGATTTGTGTAGATCCGAAGAGTTTTTTTGAGTTTCAGCGATGGGTTTCAGTCACTCTTATGGAAATCAACCAGAGAGGAGAGGGGCCTCCTCTTGTTCACCAACAACTGAAAGAAAACTCGCTGTTCGACTTCATTTACGTTTAGAACGAACAGTATCATCTGTTTTAGTTGTAAAAACATGAAAAGGATGCGGAGATGTTTCATTTTCATCTGCTTTTGTGGTTTTGTTTGTTCTGTGGTCCTCCTGCAAACGCAGCACGGAGCAGAGGAAGCTTCGCTCCCGTGATGCGGCCCGATGTCGGCGCAGTCAGGAAACGGAGGTGTTTTACGAGCTCGCCCGCACGCTGCCGCTGCCGCGCCGAGTCTGCACACACCTGGACAAAGCCGGCATCATGAGGGTGACGCTCAGCTTCCTGAGGATGCAGCAGCTCCTGAAACCCGGTCAGAACCTCTCCACCTGGCTTTCGCTCATGCTTACAAACCACTTAACTTCCAGCTTTGTTTACATTTGGAACATTTCTAAGTCTTGTTTGTTTTACGGTTTGTAAAAATATGTTTTACTTCTGACGCAACGATGTTCGGGAACCCCAACTGCTTCCTGCTTGGTAGTTGTCCGGCCAGTCCAGCCGTGTCGCGCCCTGTCCCTCCAGGACGAGGGCTGGACACCCCACTCTGGGCTGGTTTGGTAGCGATGAGTCTCGTCTTCATCCCAACCCTAAAACTGCCTGAACTTCCTGTTTTGTCAGCTGATCTCCACCCTTGTGAAACAAAAACAAGCTGTAACTGAATCAGTTGGACCAAAGACACTGAGCTGCACGTGTCTGTTTACTTTCATACAACAGAGGAGGAGGAGGAGGAGGATCCGATGGATTCCTTCTATCCCGAGGCGCTGGCCGGCTTCATCATGGTGATGACAGAGGAGGGAGACATGATCTTCCTGACAGAGAACGTCAACAAACACATCGGCATCACACAGGTGCTTCCTCCTCCCACCCTGTAGCCGGAGCGCCGCCCGGCGGATCCGGGTCTGGGATGGCTGCTGAGTGGAGGGAGACGCGTTGTCCTCCGGCAGCAGCTGCGGATCATCCACCTGACCTCAGACCAACGCTGTTTTTCTGTCCTCCACAGCTGGAGCTGCTGGGTCAGAACATTTACGACTTTGTTCATCCCTGTGATCAGGAGGAGCTCCGAGATCTGCTGACTCCACGTCCAGGTTAGCCTCACGGGGTCGTGTGAGGACACGAAGGTCAAATCAACAAAAGCTCCTTGATGTTTGTTTTTGTTTACTTTTTAGGTCTGAGTAAGAAGCTGCAGGCAGAGCAGCGCAGCGAGAGGAACTTCTTCCTGAGGATGAAGAGCACGCTGACCAGCAGGGGGCGAACCGTCAACATAAAGTCTGCTACCTGGAAGGTGAGTCACATGACGCAGCAGCTGGGCTGGGCCAGAGCGTCTCCAGCGGGCGACTGTTCCAGCTGCAGCCTGTCCAGATGTTGTCCCCACCAGCTGTGTGTTTGTGCTCGACCCCCCCCCCCCCCCCCCCAGGTGCTCCACTGCACAGGTCGCATCCGTCCGTTTGGCGGCTCGGCAGCGCCTCCTGCAGCCAGGGTGATGACGCTGCTGTGTGAGCCCATTCCTCACCCCTCCAGCGTGGAGTGTCCTCTGGACTCGTGCACGTTCCTCACCCGCCACAGCATGGACCTGCGCTTCACGCACTGCGAGGGGCGGTACGGGCCTGTTCTGCAGCACCAGACCAGAACCGGCTTACATTTGTTTTTAACGTCTTGTGTTCCGTTTCCAGGGTTACGGAGTTGGTAGGATACCAGCCCGAGGATCTGATTGGCCGCTCCGCCTACGAGTTCCACCACGCGCTGGACGCAGAGCACATCAAGAAGAGTCTGCATACACGTGAGTCCCGACCGGTGCGGCTGCTCTGTGTCCGTGTGAGGACGTAACCGTTCTCTGCTCCCTGCAGTGCTGTCCAAAGGTCAGGTGAACACCAGCCACTACCGCTTCCTGTCCAACGGCGGCGGCTTCGTTTGGGCCGAGACTCAGGCCACCGTCCTCTACAACAGCAAAACCTCGCAGCCGGAAGCCGTCGTCTGCCTCAACTTCATCCTCAGGTGCGTTAGAGCAGAGCTTTCGCAGCAGTGCCTTTCCCACCGTCCTCCTCTTACCTCTCTCTGGGTTTGCAGCGCTGTGGAGCAGCGGGACGTGCTTTTCTCCACGGAGCAGATGCGCTGCAGCCGCCTGGTTAAGGCCGAGCCCCCCTCCCCTGACAGCGGGAATTCTGACTCCTTTGAGTCCGACTCGGAGCTCGGTGCCGGTCCCGGTGAAGCTCAGGACCTGGACCCCAGCAGCGTTGAAAAGCTCCTCCTGAAGGAGAAGCCAGTGGAACTCCTGCAGCTGGATCCCGAAGCAGGAGGCGCCGTTGTTGCACTGACAGAAGGTGAGGTCACTTCCTGAAACAGGAAGTAGTTGCTTTTACTCAAAAATAACAAATTCTGATGTTTTTCTTCCGTCAGGTCCGGTCGAGCTGTCGTTCGCCAGTCCATCGGCGTTCCCGGAGGATCCTAAAGATCTGTGCAGCCCCCAGCTGAGGAAGCTCCTCTCGCCCATCTTTGACTCCATCGAGCGTTCCTCGTCACCTTCTTCCTCTCCTGGAGCGGCACTGGTAACCACACCCCCTTAAACCGCCCTGGAGGCCCCCGGTCTCACCTGAACAGGTGGCCCTCCAGGGCGGGACGCTCCTGCCTCTCCTCAGAACTCAGGTTTACGTCTGGGTCTGGTTCCGTTTCAGAGCCCCTGTGGGGAGGAGCTGATGGACACCAGCGAGGTCGAGAAGTTCTTCACGTTTTGTCCTGAAGAAGTCCAGAAGAAACCAGAAACTCTGGAGGTAGAAATGATCAAACGTCCTCAAAGCTTCAGCTTACAGAACAAAAAGGTGCTGCTCCCCTTTCAGGACACGGAGGCGGTGGACCTGGAGATGCTGGCGCCGTACATTTCCATGGACGACGACTTCCAGCTGACGTTCCTCAGCTCTCTGCCCGAAGAGGCGGACCAACCATCGTCGTTTTCGCTGAAGGGTTCTGACGTGATGCCCGCGGTCGGCAGGAAGAGGTGAGTCCAAACCAAACGGGGTCGCTCTCGTCCCGACATGAAGCTTCTCTGGTCTGTTTACTGGACCTGCAGGTGGCGCCGGAGTAAACGGACCGCCCACGTCAGACAGGTGCTGACTTGTTTTTACCCATTCCCTTCAGGAGTCACGACTCGGACGAGGAGCTGCTGCCTCAGCTGATGCTTCAGGACAAGAGGCAGAAACAAGAGCCGCCTTCCATGGAGGAGGAGCTTCTTCTGAGCCACAGGCTGCTGGTGGGTCCATCAGAACCACCTGCTTACCCACAATTCAACTGCTGGCGCCCCTCTGACCTATCGGTGACCTCTGTGTTCAGGAATCTCTGGAAGAAACCGAGTCGGACCCGATTCTGGACCTGGGCTCCGAGGCACGCCGGCAGCTGCTGACAGACAGAGACCCGGTTCTGGGCGGCGTCCAGGAGCTCCGCGACGCTGCAGGTAACCGCAGCCGTCTGGCGCCCCCGGTGTTCACGATCCGTCTTGTTTGGGAAGAAATTTAAAGATCCGATTTGAAATGTGGTTCAGAAATAAAAGTTGGTTAAAAATGTCGTTTCTGCAGCTCTGATGAGGAACATCTTTGTGCCGTGCCCCTCTGACCTTTCACCCCCCCTCTCACCTTTGAACTGAAGCGGCTCCACGACCTTTAGATCTGTCCACAACCAAAACGCTCACGCACTCAAACAAGCTACAAACCTGTACGCACAAAACTTCCACATCGGCCCGGCGGCGAGGTGCGAGCCGGCGCCGCTGCAGGGCGGACGGGAATGATTCAGTCTCTCCGAACGGAGCGCCGGCGCCGCTCCTGTCAGCTTCAGTCACAACTCTGTTTTCTTTCCTGAAACCGGCAGCTGGTGCTCATCGTTATTCTTTGTGTACGTCTGATCCAATCTGAACTCAGAGCAGCTAAATCACCGGATGCACCAACGACTGTGGCGGCCATGATGGTTTCCTGTCCTGCGAGTATCAGTGGCACGACTTTTTCTAACATTTTTACTGTTCCTCACTTGTAATATTTATATGTCTGCTATTATTTCAGATCTACCGGCACTTTTATGAGCTAATGGATGTGCCAGGTGGGCGGAGCTTATGTAACACTCCCTGATATCTCAGATCAGTAATTGCTATACTGAAGCCATGATTAGTTGAATCGTAGTGTGAGCATCTTAATGCTCCTTAGAGATGTGAATAAACTAGTAATTCATCTTTTTTATCCTTGAAAGACTCGTAACCAATCATACCTCAGCCTGGAGAAGTGAAATGAGCCGTTTCCATAAACCGTCGAAACCCACAACATCAGGTTGTTCATGTCACTCTCGCTCTGTGCCTTCTCATCACGCAGCGGAAACTCGACTGTTACCGTCTCACTCAAACTCTTAATTCCTTCTTTTCTTTCAAAAGGATGAATTCTGTTATTTTATTGTATTCGTGTTTTCTGTATGTACTTCAAATTAATAAAGTTAGTAAAATCAAAGCTGCTGTTTGTGGAACACACACACACACACACACACACACACACACACACACACACACACACACACACACACACACACACACACACACACACACACACACACACACACACACACACACACACACACACACACACACACACACACACCCAGGTGAGAACTAATATCTACACTATCAGCAGTTGATAAATCATTGATACTGAATGAAATGCAGTATCTACATGTGGATGTGAGAGTACTCACTGGAGCTAACTCCCTCTGGAGCCCTGTGGTAGGTCACACTGGAGGAGAGATGATTCGTGCAACAGTTGAGTACCTGGGTATCAGGTGTGTTCTTGCTGTGTCGTATCTCTAATTCCATGCTGTAGTTCTTTTTTAAAACACAGAGCAGTTTTTGTTTACCTGTTTTCCCGCTACGTTGAAAACAGGTAAACAAAAACTGCTCTGTTTTAAAAAACTACAGCATGGAAATAAGTACCTGGGTGTTCAACTGGTCCAACAACACAGGTGCTTGTTTTAGAAGGGACAAAGCTGCTTTCACCTGAGGAGGCTGAGGTCCTTCAGAGTTAATTCCCAATCTTCTAAAATCCTTTTAGCACTAGTTGGCAGCTCTGTTGTCCACTCTGCTGAGCTGCAGGCAGCTCTCACCGAGACAGGAAGAGATTCAAATCAATATTTGATCACAATGTTCTTTTAGAAAGACTTGAACATGTTGTAGGGATCAAAGGAACAGCGTTAGGCTGGTTTAAATCCTACCTGTCTGACAGATTTCATTTTGTAAATGTACATGACAAATCTTCTTCATACTCCAGGGTTACTTGTGGAGTACCACAGGGTTCAGTGCTTGGACCAATTCTTTTTACTATATATATATACTCCCAATTGGTAAAATCATTAGACAGCATGGGATAAACTTCCACTGTTATGCTGACGATACTCAGCTATATTTATCCATTAACCCTGATGAACCTAATCGGTTGGGTAGATTACAGGCTTGTCTTGAGGACATAAAACATTGGATGACTCTAAACTTTTTGCTTTTAAATCAAGACAAGACGGAAGTTCTCATCTTTGGACCAGAAATCCAGAAAAGGAAATTGCTTAGCCAATCGCCTGACCTGAATGGCATTACATTAATCTCTGAGAACAAAGTAAGGAACCTTGGTGTTATCTTTGACCAGGACATGTCATTCAAATCCCAGGTTAAACAGGTTTGTAGGATTTCCTTTTTCCACCTTCAGAATATTGCTAAGATTAGAAGCATCCTTTCCAGGAGTGATGCTGAAAAACTAGTTCATGCATTTATTACATCAAGACTGGATTACTGTAATCCATTACTCTCAGGAAGTCCACAGAATGTAGTTAAAAGTCTTCAGCTTGTCCAAAATGCTGCAGCTAGAGTTCTGATGAGAATTAAAAAGAGAGATCATATCTCTCCTGTCTTAGCTTCCCTACATTGGCTACCTGTTAAATTCAGAATAGATTTTAAGATCCTTCTTCTCACATATAAAGCTCTTAATAATCAAGCTCCATCATACATCAGTGATCTGATTGTTCCATACGTTCCTAACCGAGCACTTCGCTCTCAGACTGCAGGTCTACTGGTGGTTCCAAGAATATCTAAACTGTAACTGTACTATTTCCTGCTATTTCAGCTGTTAACTTTATTTTCTCTCTTAAGTGTTTTTCTCCCCAGAAGAAGCTACAACGATGTTCTGCTGAGCTGTGGTGGCCTCATGGAGGGGGCCATCGTCTAGCACACTGCTGCTAACCACTTAAACATTCTCCCTCTCCTGATAATAACTTTTTACTCTCTTTGACGTTGGATGTGCTACTACTAGTTTACCCGTTTAATTATAGATTCACTAGGATAAATACAATAAAGTTTATCTCTCACCAGATAGAATATTTACTAAGACATCACAATGTAACCATAGAAACACTACTTGGTGTGTGTGTGTGTGTGTGTGTGTGTGTGTGTGTGTGTGTGTGTGCGTGCGTGCGTGCGTGCGTGCGTGCGTGCGTGCGTGCGTGCGTGCGTCTGCTCTGTCTTCTCCATCCCCAGTGAGTCGTGGAGGATGGCTGCTTATACTGAGCCAGGATTCTCTGGAGGTTTCTTCCTGTTAAAAGGGAGTTTTCCTCTCCACTGTCGCTGCATGCTTGCTTAGTATGAGGATTGCTGTAAAGATTCTGACACGAGTCAGTGACTCGATGCGACCTGCTGGGTTCCTTACATAGGAAACTTGTTACTGATTGGCTTAATGACCTGTATTAGAATGTTTACTGTGTGAAGGTCCTTGAGACGACTCTGGTCCTGATTTTGCGCTTTATAAATAAACTGGAATTGAATTGAATTGAATTCAGTTTAGGAAATTTATGATGCGGAGGATGCTGGGGAAGATGACCTCCCTCTTAAAACCCACCCACTGCCTTCCACTGTGGAGACCATGGACAGCTCCTTCAGAGGCAGGCTGAGACAGCCCAGATGTAAAATAGAACGCTACCGTAGGTCCTTCATCCCCTCTGCAGTAAGAGTACAAGGAAGCTGTCTAGGGCCTCCGCTGTTTTCGTTTTTGCTAATGATATGCTGAATGTACTAACGAAGGCTAAACTGACAATGTTTGCTGATGACTCAACTATATATTATTCTGCTCCCACTTGCTTTAAGCTCCAACAAGTTCTGTCCGTTGAAATGGACAGAGTTGGATCGCTGGAAATAAGTTAGTTTGAAATATTTCTACAACACTGAGTATAATATTTAGTTCAAGGCGCAGGTTATTAGCTAATCCTATGTTGGATTTACAGGTGAATGGTCAGAATGGACTTTGGCTTGATTGCTCACTATCGTGGTCCGACCACACCAACACTGTCGTAGCTGAGGTGGGTAACGCACAAGTGTTCACCATTTCTCAGCTCCCAGATTAGTCGTGTTGCTTCTGCACTTGTTCTGTCGTTTGGATTACCGTTCAGCCGTATGGTCAGCCGTGTCCAGTAGTCTTCTACAAGCAAGGCCATGAGATTGGTTCTTGGTTGTCATCCAAGAACAAATACCAAAGATACCGGTATGCATGACCCTGCTGGCTAATGGTCACGCAAGGACTATCTGCTAACACGTTATTGTTTTTTAGAAGAATTATTGAAACTAGAACACCGAAAAGTTTTATAACAACATCATTTTTAATTCAAATGTGTCTTCAACATTTACTCGAGTGGCAAAGAACCGACAGATTAATTTGCCACAACTAAAGGCTGATTATACGAAGAGAACTTACATAATCTTCCGCTTGAGGTTAGTAAAAATAAGCATAAGTACAATTTCAAAAAGAGACTAAGATCGTACCTGTCTGCATTATTGTAACATTATCCTGATGACTTATTGTGGGGTTGTGAATATAAGCGTGCTGTCTTATTTGCTGTTTGTTTTATGTTATAAAATCTTTTTATTGTTTTGTTTCAAGGACATAGGAACCCGGGGACACAGGCGGGACGTGTCCTCTCCAATATTGGACAAACGTGCATTTGTCCTCCCCAATGACGTGGAGATGAAAAAAATAGATTTTGAAATATTTGACTCGCGAGCTTTTATTTTGAAAGACACCGCGGACTTCTCACCCACCCAGATGTTCTGGGGTTAGGGATACAGCCCCCCCCCCCCCCCCCCCCCCCTTTCGGAGTGTCCGGGGCCAGAGGTGCAGAAAGAGAGAGCTACGACCACTCTTTCAATGGAAAGAATGGAATGCGGAAGTCACGTGGTTCACGTAGCTCTGAATAGTTCCAAACAGCCCCGCTGCTGCATTGACTGCAGTTCATTTTCGGTGTTTCGGAAGGATTTTCTCCGGTAAGTTGATGACATGTCATCATTTTGTTGCATTGTGAAGCGTTAGCTAACCGCTTCGTACCAAAATAAGCCCACGACGATGTTTTAGCTAGCTAACCTTTAAGCTTGACGAGCTGCGGACGGGTTTGTTTATCTGGTTGCTGTGGCAACACGAACATGCATCAGAAATGGAGAGACCAACAATAAAGAAAAATGTGATTTTGAAGACAAGTAATTATTCATTATTTTTCAGTTAGTAATGTTTCACTGACTGCAACAAACTGCTGAAGCACGAGACAAAAAGGATTACGAACGTAAGAAATAAGAATTAACACAACTGTCAATAAATAAATGTCAAAGAGTTACTAAAACAAAATCTTATGTAACCATTAAAGGTTAAACTGTGTTGTGTCCATCTTCATGTTTCACGGTGGCTGAGCGGAGAGCTGACCAGGAACAGCCCAGTCGGGTCTGTGATGGTGGTGTGCTGGAGCTGAGTGCTGGAAGGGGAGGCTGTCAAAAGAAAATCAGAATTATGAGATTATCTTATTGCATACCAAAGCTAACGGAAGCATTGAATTTATATTTTACTTCCTGAATATTTCAATACCATTTATGGTTGAACTGATGTAGAACCAGTGAAATTAAAGTAGAAGGAACCAAACACACACCGCATATATATATACTGGTGTTGAAGCGGGCGTGGGTGGGGGCTTGCTTGTGGTGCTACAAGGTGTTGTTTTGTGTTGCAGCTTTTTCTTTGTTTGTTGTTTGGCTTTTACTTCCAAGATGCCCAGCATGGACAGCACTTCTGTTCTCTCATGGAAGATCTGTTTTGATGCAGTTCGCAGTCTCAGCCGGATAAATCTGCAGTTTTTTGGGGGTTTTTGCACATCATGACATGCAGGCAGCATGCTTTGTAACAGTCTTGCCGCTCTCTCCAGAGTGTCAATGGCATTTGGGAGCTCCATGAAAGATGCACCAGACCTTGCTCTGAACATCTCAAGTTTCTGGACCAGACTGAAGGCCTCATGCGAAGGTCCACACAACACTCCTGGTTTGAACTCCTTCAGTGTCAACAGCTGGGACGTAATTTTGGGGGGGGACGGGTGGGACATGTCCCCCCCACTTTTTCAAAAGGCAGTTTCGGTCCCCTTCACTTTTTTCCGTCCAAAAACAATGTTA